AACTTTTATCTTCTTTAACCAAAATTATTCGCTAATACCAAAATCAATTCATTGATCCCCTATTCATTCTGATCCACGCAAAACAAAAATAATTGTTATCACCAATTAAAATACGCTCTCCCAAATTTAATCGGTGACAGTAGCAAATATTCGTTATTTTTATCTTTACTGTTTGGTTAACCAAGATCATTCAGATTATCGTTAGATCAAAAGTTAGATATGAACTAAAGTTTAGGGTAAAGTCTACACGTATGCGCACAATTTATTTGAATTTAAATATTTTGAAATTTACCAATCTTTAATTGAAGAAATCAAAAAAGACCACAATGATATAACTATAATAATAATCATAATAATAATCATAATAATAACACTTATCAAGTAACAGAAGACATTAAAGTATAAATATAATCATAATAAATTTTAACTATTTTAATAATTAAGATAATTAATGTTAATTTGTTAATACCTCAATTATTTATTATAGAAAATTATTAAAGAGTCATTTAGAAGGGATCTATTTATTAGGAAAAAATATCCTGCAGATGTAGATATTGAAAATTTTGTTCATAGTGTCTTAGTAAATTGCTTTCCAGAAGTAAGAATGTATAAAGACAAAGACAATTGGGAACAAGTCTGGTACAAGCTGAGAGGTGTAGTAAGTACTTACCTTAAACCTATCTCTAGAAAAAGTGTTGTAAAATTTTTAGAAAAATATTGATAGTTTTTTTTCTTAATAAACTTAGCCATTAGAATTGTTTAGAACAACTAGGGGTAATGCAATCAGACAAATTAAATATAGCTTGTTTCAAAAATTTCGGAATTTAGAAGAAATCAATCATGATGCAACAATAAACCAAATATTAGAGGTATATATGATATTAATTATATTTTATTAAATTTTGTATAATATAAAGATGAAATTATTAATATAAAAGTTTAAATTGACAGTGGAAAGACAATGACTCAACAAAGGAGACCCTTGACTCTTTATGTGAGATTGAAGAGGATGATGATATGACTTTCTTTGAAAATATCACAAGAGAAGCCTTTTCTGGTGATAGAGGAAAAGTAAATGGGACCAACAAAAAGTTTTGTATGGGCATTATTAAATGCTTTTCTTGGCACAGAAAATAACTCATTACATCTGGGCGAAAAAATGATTGTGCTGTTGATGGCAAAATATGAGCTGAGTAAATTTAAAAATTGACTATTAGTTAATTGACTATTGATCAATTAATTATTAATTCATTTTATTTTGCAGAGTGAGAATATTGATCATGATGTTAGCAAATAATTTTTAGTAATAAATTAATTCGCAACTGAGTAAGACTACATATAATTTTTTAATTATTTTAAATAAGTTACAAAATATACACCTACAAAACTAGCATAGCTCTTTTATATCTTCACATTCTGTTTAATTTTAGTTATCCCCAACTGGCTATTCTAAACATAACAAATTTTAATGAATATCTTACCTCCGTCGCAATATTTTCATAGTAATAGCGGCGGGTGGGGGTTTGTCAAAATCAACATCATCGACGTCATCATCATTTATTTTAATATGGTAAATTTAAAATCTGATCTTGAAAAAATGAGAAAGAGATTATAGAAATTAATCCGGAATAATAATGATGATGATGATGATGATAATGATGACAATAGTGATGAACCATCATTGTCGACACAAACAAGCATAAATGATTACTTTCACATATTAAAATAATTTATTGCTATTAATTATAATCAATTTCAATATGATTTCTGACTAATCTAATTTTACTTGGTGATTCTGAATCGACAAAATTTTGTTTTTTGTTATTTGGAGAAATTTTCATTCAGAAGGGATTTAAATGACTTTTTCAAAGCATTATTATCAGATATTTGGCTCTTAACTTCTCTAAAAAGGGTTCTATTATTTTTATAAAGTAAACTTGCCTTAAACCATAAAATTAACCAAACTTTATAAAAAACCCCAATATTATCTGTCAATCATCGCCCTCTTCATTACATAATTCTGAATGGATTAAAGACGATACATTGCTAAGCATCTGATTTTTAGGAATAGTTTGATAAGAACTTAAATTTCATTAGCAGGAACATCTAAAGTTGTTAATTGCATTATGACAATTGTTCTCATAGAATAGTTGATTATGTGTCGTTCACCAAGATCAATGTCACAATCTTTACAGATTTGTTTAATTAGATTATCAAGTAAATTTTTGTATTTGAAAACCATTTTCTTTTTTAAATGTTAACTTTATTTTCCATTTTAAGAAAACACTTGACATTCACAATGAGCTGTCCTTCTGTTTTTATAATGTATTATGTCTTGTACAGGTTGAAATTTATTGTTGATATTTCACAAATCCGTCCATCATTATCCATGTTACCAAGACCACCAGTACGATACTTTACCTGGAAAGTGATAAAGCTATACTCTTGACAACCATTATAACATTACCCAAGAATCTTTAAGTTTTTTAGATCCCCTCCATGAAAACTACATAAATATGAAGCCAGAAGGTTACTTTTTTTTGTAGAGAGAAAGGTTCATTCGGATTTAATGATGGATGTAATATTTCATGCTTTACTAATGCATCAAATTTTGTTCTTTTAATGTTATTGGTATCTTGAATTTATTTTATTTTACTTGACAGTGTCTGCCATAATTTTGGATATTTAATCCAAGTTTGGTGTATCTTGTTTATCTATTTAATAAACGTTACTAAATTTATTATTTGTATTTACACAATTGGCTTCTTGACTACTCGAGAAGCAAAATCAAAAAACTATGTTGGTTGGACACAACACCAAACTAAAGAACAAACAACACATATACTAATACGAACATGTATGCTTAAAAATGCTCAATTTAAAATAGTCGCTCACTTGTACATAATAATATGTGCAACTTTTATTTATAATAAAATTAAAATTTAAAGATGGGGCAAAAATTAGTCACGATTCATAACATGAAGAAATTATTAAACTACTGTATGTATTTTAATGCGTATACAGTGAATTCTAGAAATAAATGAAATCAACCATTGTTGGTGCATGTACAATTTCATCCTATGCCATTTTAGTTTTAGCATCATTTTTTCCCATTCCTTTATTTGGTACTTATCATTAAAGGTGAGAAACACCAAAATACTTGTTTCACACGGCAAACATAGTAACCTCGCTTAATACGAATCGCTGATAAAACCTACGTAAATATAACTGTTAATTAACTTTGTCCTACCAATTATACATGTAATTATTTTTAAAAAAGAAAAAGAAATCATTTCTTTAACTGTGTAAATGATTCTTGTTAAAAACATTATTTTTGCAACATGAAATAATATGGGCTTAGAATAAAACCGTTGCTAATTAATTGACACTCTTCCACATACTAACTCGTATTTCCAAACAAAAAATTTATATAGTCAAAAAGCACACCATGGCATCAACTCTCGTTAAGCTAGTTGGCCGAAATAAGAAATTCAAGCTCGTTACCTTTATTAGAGAAGTTGAAAAGAATGAAAAGAAAAATCCATCACATATGATACCACACAGCTTAAATCAGATTTAAATATTAATTACCTACTTGACCATTATTATTTTATTTAAATAGAGAATCATTAATTTGTTTATTAGATAGACCGTTATTTAATTATTATTGTTTATTTTAATATCAATATAATTATTATTTATGATGTTGAAGTGTATTATTACACAAGAACGAATAAGGAAGAAATTGATGACTAACATCTAATAAATTTCCCTTGTCCTTGTCCTTGTCCTTGTTTTCGGATTTTACAAATCTATCAATTCATATTAATCCCGTGCATAATTAATTCTCTCTTATTTTATACTTGTCTCTATTTTTTCTATTTTTTTTTTTCTTTTAATGTGGTAATATTTAATAAACTTTATTTAGTGAAGTTTGGACACCTGCCAAGAAACGTGATCAGGATATAGTGTGAAATCTAAAGAAGACATTGTTTGTATTGCTTAGCAAAGGAATTGTTTGACGATGGTGAAAGATAGTTTTGAGAGTAAGGCATAATATAACATTCGCGGAAATTATTGTTACGATTTAGTATAAATAAATTGGAAGAAATTGTGATTGTATTATTGTATTAATATTATTGACTTTAAAATAAATTATCATCTTCGAGACTCGGACACGATCTCACAATATTAGTCAATTAAAGTATACAGAATAGAAGTTTATTACAGAACTAATAAATACATTATTTGTTATACAGTCAAACCTAATTTTGTTACAATGAATTTTGTTACATCGAATTTATCAATGGGGTCGTATTACAACGACACAAAATCAGAACTGGTTTTAAACCGTATTTAATAAAACCGGTTTTAATCAGGCAACCGGTGATACTAGTGTCAATGATTCTAGTATTGATTCACATCATGCATTCAATGATATTTCCAATATTACATTACCATTTAAAAGATCAAAAACATAAATTTAAATGTCATTATATTCGGAAATAACTATTATCATTAAATACTCATTACTTCAAACAATTGTATTTTTAATATTTGTTTGTATTAATTGTATAACTATCCATTGGACAATGGAATTGAGTCCACATAATATCTATTTTTTATTAACAGAATTTAGAATTCCATTAATAAACTTTCATAATATCCTGATATTCAGAAGCAGTGAATATTTAATTAGAAAAGGATGATCGATATCAAGCTTAATCATTCATCTATTTCATTTATAGCTTCTTGTCTACCATGATACTTGAGAAATTGTTGGTTATATTCTAAATAAACCAACATCTAAATGATGTAAACCATCTGGAATTGTTACACTATATCTGATATGAAATTCGAAACAAATCAAATCGAATTTTAATTGTATTTTGATTTAATTAGTTACATTATCATTATTTTATCAATTAATAATATTATTATGGTAGCCGAAACTACCTTACTTAGTGGGCTGAAATTGCTGAAATTAATTGGCCTAAACTTGGCGAAACTAATTTTAATAGATGAACTAGATAGTTTTTCAACTGTGCAAAAGTCAAAAGGTTCGCTACAAGTCGAAACTAGTTTTGACTTGCGACTTTTGACATAACTTTCAATTTTAGTTTGACTTTCGCCTCCTTCAAAAAAGTTTTGGCGACCAACAATATTTTAAATTGAAAATTAAGCGAATATAACAAACATATTTGGTCATAGACAAAGAAATCTGCAATGGAACAATAGGTGATGTTGCCAACCTAGATGTTAGTCAGAATACTGTCGGGGTTGTTTTTTTGCATTCTTTGTGGCGTGGTTGTGCCAAAGGATATTGCCATATTTTTTATCTAGGTGTTCTAGTACTAGTGAATAAAAATTTCGGAAATTCATAAATTTGAATGTTTTTATTTAAAGCAACATGTAGATATAAAAATTAATAACAATATTAAATGATAACATAATATTAATAGAATATGTTGGTAAGAACATTGTTTAATAAATAATAATAACTAACAATTAAATTATGCTTCTATACTATAACTTGCAAGAATGGAATTATAGCTAAATTCTGCAACTTTAGCGGTACCACCAACCATAGCGCCTGCACAGCCTATAATATCCTCAGTTTTTGGATTCGCAACCATAACTAGAATAAGGTATTGTGCAGGTAATGCTGCTGGTACATTAACACTCAATACTTGAGAAAATGGTGTTGTAGGGCTGGCTGGCGCAGCATTTATATCACCTACCATACTCTTAGTTGCAGGATCATAAAAACCAGCAACGGTAAAGTCGCCATTGGCGACAGGACGACTTAGTGTTCCAGAAATACTAAAAGTATCAACTTGTCCAGGAACGGGAGGATCAGGTGAAAGTGCGACAGTAAGTTGAGGTGGTGCTACTTGTCCAGCTTTTATTGCAGGACATTGAAAAAATATTGAAGGAGCTCTTTTAAGAAGTTGATGTGGAATAGCATTTACCACCATGGAGAGCGTAGCAAATAAGAGGAAAGCAAAAATAAACTTCATGATTTCTTTTTTTTATTTGTATAAAAATTTTATTTGTGAAGATGGGTTTTATTTGTGAGAATATAATTTTATTTGAGAATATAATTTTATTTGTGAGAATAAATTTTATTTGTGAGAATAAAATTATTGATAAGACTAAATCGAAATCGCTGCCTTTTTATAAGAAACAAAGTTACCTAGAGTAATTATATTTCATATCACGAAAAAAAATTTTGACATTTCATGTAAATGAGAGTGGACACACTGTTGCAGATCAAATGTAACAATTCAATAATTTATGCAGTGTAACAATTAATTTTCAATTGAATATATAGAAAAAAAAACTGGTGTAGCAAATATTCGTTATTTTTATCTTTACTGTTTGGTTAACCAAGATTATTCAGATTATCATTAATCAAAAGTTAGATATGAACTAAAGTTTAGGATAAAGTCTACACGTATGCGCACAATTTATTTGAATTTAAATATTTTGAAATTTACCAATCTTTAATTGAAGAAATCAAAAAAGACCACAATGATATAACTATAATAATAATCATAATAATAATCATAATAATAACACTTATCAAGTAATAGAAGACATTAAAGTATAAATATAATCATAATAAATTTTAACTATTTTAATAATTAAGATAATTAATGTTAATTTGTTAATACCTCGATTATTTATTATAGAAAATTATTAGAAGGGATCTATTTATTAGGAAAAAATATCCTGCAGATGTAGATATTGAAAATTTTGTTCATAGAGTCTTAGTAAATTGCTTTCCAGAAGTAAGAATGTATAAAGACAAAGACAATTGGGAACAAGTCTGGTACAAGCTGAGAGGTGTAGTAAGTACTTACCTTAAACCTATCTCTAGAAAAAGTGTTGTAAAATTTTTAGAAAAATATTGATAGTTTTTTTTCTTAATAAACTTAGCCATTAGAATTGTTTAGAACAACTAGGGGTAATGCAATCAGACAAATTAAATATAGCTTGTTTCAAAAATTTCGGAATTTAGAAGAAATCAATCATGATGCAACAATAAACCAAATATTAGAGGTATATATGATATTAATTATATTTTATTAAATTTTGTATAATATAAAGATGAAATTATTAATATAAAAGTTTAAATTGACAGTGGAAAGACAATGACTCAACAAAGGAGACCCTTGACTCTTTATGTGAGATTGAAGAGGATGATGATATGACTTTCTTTGAAAATATCACAAGAGAAGCCTTTTCTGGTGATAGAGGAAAAGTAAATGGGACCAACAAAAAGTTTTGTATGGGCATTATTAAATGCTTTTCTTGGCACAGAAAATAACTCATTACATCTGGGCGAAAAAATGATTGTGCCGTTGATGGCAAAATATGAGGTGAGTAAATTTAAAAATTGACTATTAATTAATTGACTATTAATCAATTAATTATTAATTCATTTTATTATGCAGAGTGAGAATATTGATCATGATGTAATAAATTAATTCACAACTGAGTAAGACTACATATAATTTTTTAATTACTTTTAAATAAGTTACAAAATATACACCTACGAAACTAGCATAGCTCTTTTATATCTTCACATTCTGTTTAATTTTAGTTATCCCCAACTGGCTATTCTAAACATAACAAATTTTAATGAATATCTTACCTCCGTCGCAATATTTTCATAGTAATAGCGGCGGGTGGGGGTTTGTCAAAATCAACATCATCGACGTCATCATCATTTATTTTAATATGGTAAATTTAAAATCTGATCTTGAAAAAATGAGAAAGAGATTATAGAAATTAATCCGGAATAATAATGATGATGATGATGATGATAATGATGACAATAGTGATGAACCATCATTGTCGACACAAACAAGCATAAATGATTACTTTCACATATTAAAATAATTTATTGCTATTAATTATAATCAATTTCAATATGATTTCTGACTAATCTAATTTTACTTGGTGATTCTGAATCGACAAAATTTTGTTTTTTGTTATTTGGAGAAATTTTCATTCAGAAGGGATTTAAATGACTTTTTCAAAGCATTATTATCAGATATTTGGCTCTTAACTTCTCTAAAAAGGGTTCTATTATTTTTATAAAGTAAACTTGCCTTAAACCATAAAATTAACCAAACTTTATAAAAAACCCCAATATTATCTGTCAATCATCGCCCTCTTCATTACATAATTCTGAATGGATTAAAGACGATACATTGCTAAGCATCTGATTTTTAGGAATAGTTTGATAAGAACTTAAATTTCATTAGCAGGAACATCTAAAGTTGTTAATTGCATTATGACAATTGTTCTCATAGAATAGTTGATTATGTGTCGTTCACCAAGATCAATGTCACAATCTTTACAGATTTGTTTAATTAGATTATCAAGTAAATTTTTGTATTTGAAAACCATTTTCTTTTTTAAATGTTAACTTTATTTTCCATTTTAAGAAAACACTTGACATTCACAATGAGCTGTCCTTCTGTTTTTATAATGTATTATGTCTTGTACAGGTTGAAATTTATTGTTGATATTTCACAAATCCGTCCATCATTATCCATGTTACCAAGACCACCAGTACGATACTTTACCTGGAAAGTGATAAAGCTATACTCTTGACAACCATTATAACATTACCCAAGAATCTTTAAGTTTTTTAGATCCCCTCCATGAAAACTACATAAATATGAAGCCAGAAGGTTACTTTTTTTTGTAGAGAGAAAGGTTCATTCGGATTTAATGATGGATGTAATATTTCATGCTTTACTAATGCATCAAATTTTGTTCTTTTAATGTTATTGGTATCTTGAATTTATTTTATTTTACTTGACAGTGTCTGCCATAATTTTGGATATTTAATCCAAGTTTGGTGTATCTTGTTTATCTATTTAATAAACGTTACTAAATTTATTATTTGTATTTACACAATTGGCTTCTTGACTACTCGAGAAGCAAAACCAAAAAACTATGTTGGTTGGACACAACATCAAACTAAAGAACAAACAACACACATACTAATACGAACATGTATGCTTAAAAATGCTCAATTTAAAATAGTCGCTCAATTGTACATAATAATATGTGCAACTTTATTTATTAATAATAAAATTAAAAATTTAAAAATGGGGCAACAATCTTTTGCATTGATAAAAAAAGATAAACATTTGCATTTAAATTCACACGAAATTTTTATGATTCATTATTACTAAATTCAAGTTTATTCTAAATTATGTTTTTTTTTTTCGGAACAAATGAACCGAACACTACATTCCTAGACATAATAATAATAATATTTAGTTTTCTGCAATTATTACTATTACCATAATAATCACTTTCCTCCAAAACAATTCTGGCAAATCAACTATTGTAATAGTGAATATTTATTTTATTTTATTATCATTTGTCATTCATCGGCAATGCTAATAATAGAAAAATAACGTCTCCAATTCACCAATAAACATATTACGTACATTTCATTTAACTTCAATATCTATTTCTGGATGAATATTATTTGTTGACAAAAACCTTACCATTTATTGAAATGCATATCCCACAGATTCTTCTTTTGTAGTTTGCGTAATCTTCTAAAGAAAATTCATCTATTTCACTTGTCTCATTTTCCACAACCAACTCATCTTGAACATTAATTCCAATAATTGGAAAGGCACTATTACCACTAATTACAATATCTTCGACCTGTTCTCTTTTGGCCTTATGCTCTTGTTGAATTGTATTTGCGATAGAGATATCGCCTTTTCATACTAAACAAATAATATATATATAAAATTGTACACTAGGCATTCTTCTTTAATAAAAAAAAATATTATACATTATAATACTGTACAAACGCCCAAACGTTTTCTTTTCCGGATCCGAATTGTTACACGACCGTCAAAATATTATTAACCAATACGTTATCAAAGCTATATGGAATGTGTGGAGTTGATAAACAGATAGATTGATAGGGATATCCTAACAAAAAAAAAATTTTAAATTCAAATTCTAACAAATTCTAACTGCATGATTATAAAAAATTTTGAAATTCAAAGTTCTATCTGCATGATTATAAAAAATTTTGAAATTCAAAATTCTATCTACATGACTATCAAATAAACCTCTATTGAAAAGTAATTTATAACCAATATTTTAAAATTAGGTGACGGTTTCCTTCATCTTTTTTTTTTTTTTTTTTGATTACTAAAAAGTTTTATTATACATTCCTGACTATTAAAATTAAAATAATTAAAGTTCAACTACCAATTTGGCGGACATATTAATTTCCATATATAATTTCGATCTACATGCATGCATACTTAAAAATAACTAAAAAATAAACAAATAATAAATAGATAACAAAGAAGTAGCCTTTACAAAATGAAATAATTAAATTTATTATGAATGAATTCATTTAAATATTGTATTTTCAACCCATAATCTTGAGCTCGACTGTTAAAAATCGAGGATATCAAAAGAAAATTATAGCGATATATTTAGGATGTGATTATGGTTGCTTGCCAAAACTCCTCCAGAAATCAATCGGCAGAGTTTCGACAGGTTACACGGGACTTCGGACAATTATATTCGGAGTATCACAAAAAAAATATTAAGGCCAAAATTTTTCTTATAAAATTTCTGTTTGTAATTCAACAAATAATTCAAATAGTAACTTTTATTTGAATAGAAACTTTAAAACAGTAAATAACAAGTAACACCAATGACGAAGTCACTGTCATAAAGCATTCATCTAGTTTATTATTTAAAATCATCAGTTTTTTAACATAATGTTTATTATTCAAAAACCGTCAATAAATGATAAAAAATTTTTTTTAACATAATAATTGTTATTATTACGTTATTCAAAAATCGTAATAATTTTCAACATATTAATTAATATGATTATTTTGAGATTTCATTACTGTTGCCAACTTACCGTTTTTATTATTTTATTATTTCTAAATTGTCTTTTTAAAGTAGTTTGAATTCAATCTAATGATTAAAATCAAAAAGGATATATGTAGTCGGTCCCTCATTTACCTGAAATGTCAAATTTATTTTTTAAATCCACAATTACTTATTTCCGTGAATATGAAATATAATTAGTCTGGGTAACTTTGTTTCTTATA